TGTATAAAATGTATGCTAAGTTCTCTGCCCGTGTCGGCCGTCCATCCGAGCTGATTGAATAAAATGTATGCTAAGTTCTCTCTGGATCTGCTCTCCGTCTAAGAAATTTGAACCATAAATTTATCCACAAGTGGATGCAACCAAAGTTCAGGCGTTAATTATTCAATAGTCAAAGCGCAATGCAAGCATATATATATATATATATATATATATATATATATATATATATCTCTCTCTCTCTCTCTCTCTCTCTAACAATGTGAATATGGTGGGTGATCTCGCATAAGTAATGGATGCATTGTTAAAACAGGGCATGTGCGATCTAATTATTATCCCTCCCATGTATGAATTACGCATTCCGCTTCCTGTGGGTGCTTCTTTTTCCAAACTGATAAATATGTGGTCATGCCGAAACCGACACCACTAGCAAGGTCTTGAGGACAACATCAACCAAGCTCTGCACACCTCCCAAGTAGTGCGCTGTTTCCTTCAGCTCATGGTAGTTGATCCATCGGATCAAATTCCCACTTCCCGAACATCACCATCATGTCTCGGTAAAACGAATCAAGCATGCCTTGCTGAGTGGCAAGTTTCCGCCTCTGCAAGCACAGTGACGCTTGCATTCTTCAGTTCTTGCAGCGTCATACTACAAAGCTCCTTGGACAGTTGAAATGGGTCAAAATAAAAAATAAAAAAAATGACACTGGGGTAGCACCAACCTCTTCGAACATTCCACTATTCTTCATGGCGTACTCACGAACTTGTGCATCCAAGCGGTTGGGCAGATGGGTTGTGCCTTTGAAAACGGTGGAGGAAGGCAACCACGATTGTTTCATCCACCAATGCAGCAACCAGGGGGCATAATATGCAACTCGCAATGCCCACTGATCTCCAGGCTGTTGCTTTCTGTAAGCCTCCTCTGATAGATGCCGCGGGAACCCAGGCCATCTGCAGTTTATTACTGGTGCCATCATAGCAGCTCCAGCAATCCTGAAATGAATTGCAACATTCTCAGGTGCTTGCTCAGTCTGATGTTGCAGGAGGTAAAACCCAAATGATATCTATTTGTAAGGCTGCGGCGGCGGCAAACACACCCTGAACTATGTACCGTGACATTGTAGTCTAGCAAACCACAGTTACCTATCTGGAATGTACTTAATGGACGCCCAGACAGCATGGCCACCCAAGGAGAACCCAATCAGGTAAAACCTGGGCCCAGCTCCAAAGTGTTGAATCTCGTATTTTGATGATGAAACCACTTGATATGTGTTTATAATTTAAACTGTATTTTGAGTGATGCAGGTCTACTCGATCAGGTTTAGACAGTTGATGCAGGAGGAATTGACGTTGCGCCGAAAGAGATCACGTCAGGATATTGGACGGCAGAAGGCTTCGGACGTCGGGCATCGGGCCAAGGAGAGCGGAATTGCGCCAAGGATATCGGGGTTGCGGAGGTCAACCGCCGATTGGGCAACAAGCCGCAAAAGAGGACGATGCACCGAAGAATCGGACGAAGCGCCAACCAATGACGTGCCGGGCAACAGAATGTCAATTCGCGTTGTAATAATTGTCTAGATCGGAGTTGAGTTTTGGTTTGTGTGTGCAGGATTAACTACGATAACGATGAAGACATAAAGCGAAACAAAGTGTCGGAGTCAAGCGCGAAGGATTCATTGGGAGTTCGAGAGTTCGACGGAAGTCCGAAGGTTCGTCGGGAATGCTGCCGGAACTCGCCGAGAATGAGTAGGGAGCTTGCCGAAGGGTTTTTCGGAAGCTCACCGGAAGGTTCGTTGGAAGTTCGCGGAGCTCGCCGAGAAAGATCGGAGCTTGCCGAAGAAGCTCATTGGAACTCGCCAAGATCAAATCGTGAAGTCTAGGAGCTTGTCGGGAGTCCGCAGAATGGTTTCCGAGAGTTTGTCGGAAGACCGTCGGAAGTTCGCCGAAAGCTCGTCGAAAGAAGTCTTGACTTGCGAACTTTGTAATAGCTTAGAAAATGTCTTTAAATTCATAGTTAGCATGTTAATTAGGGTTAGGATTAGGTATTAATCCTATAACCTAAGTAGGGGCCAATTGGGCCCGAGTTCGGATTAGTTTGGGCCAAGATTGAAGCCCAACTAAGTGGGCTGAAAACACTGTAGATGGGCTGAAAACACAGTAGGCGGTGGCACCGCCCGGTGTCCGAGAGCCAGGCGGTGGCACCGCTTGGCTGGGCGGTGGCACCGCCCAGCGCTGTCAGCTCTTGACAAGTGACAGGCGGTGGCACCGCCACTGACAGGCGGTGGCACCGCCAGCATCGGGAACCCAACGAGAATTCAAATTTTGGAGCCCAAATTTGAATCCTCTTGGGGCCTATAAATACCCCTCTATATTCAGTTGAGAAAACAACTTTTTGAGCAGCAAGTGTTTGAGAGAAAGGCCTTAGAAAAGTCTTAGATAGTCTTGTTTTCAATTTGCTAGTGTTCACCTCCTTCTTTCTTGCTAAAAATCTGTAAGAGAGTGAACTGCTTGTAAAAGTTGTAAGAGGGGTATTTACCCTTCCCTTTCAAGAGATTTGCTAGTGGAAGGTGGGAGCCTCATCGAAGAGGGGCCTTGCAAGTGGAGTAGGTCATTTGACCGAACCACTCTAAAATCGGCGTGATCCTTGGTTTGCATTTCATTATTGCTATTTACATTATTGCAAACCTTCTTACATGCTTTAGTTCCTTATTACCCTTGCTGTGCATATTTAAGAATACGCTTTCAAGATTAAGCTTTTCAAGTTCCGTTCTTATCGCACGAAAGATTTTCTAAAACCGAAGTTTTAATCCGCTGCACTAATTCACACCCCCCTCTTAGTGCCGCTCCGATCCTAACACAAAGCATCTGCCAGCTCCGCGATATCTGACGCCTCGCTCCTCAGTGAACGATTGGGATTGGTATCACTTTCACCATATCCAGCTCTGTCGAAACCTACTATATATATACCTAACTCCTCTATCAATTCCTGCCATCACAAAGAATTATTTTAAGAGTTGATAACTTACGAGCCTTCTCAAGTAGCATATAATAAGACCCTAAATTTATGTGTGTGTGAGAGAGAGAGAGAGAGAGAGAAAGCAAACCTGTCATACCTTTATGCAACTATAAAATAATCTACTGAATGACCTGTTTGACTGAGGATATTTTCATTTATGATGGATTATCGATGTTATTTATGGATTTGACCGAGGATATTTTCATCATAAAAACCAATTAGGGAGTGTCAACGGATAAAAATTCAATAATAAAAGTTTTTTTAGGTAAAATATCCATATTATTTAGCTATAATATTTTTGGTTCAGTTTAAAAAAATATATAATCCAACTTTATTTAAAATTACTATAATATTAGATCGAATTTAAGTGGGAAACTAGTTTTTAAAAGATAAATATTTTGATCGTTTTATAAAGATATAGAAACAAGGAGTGGCCCACCCAATTCATTTGTATATATACGTCATAATCCCATTTAGCCTCATCCCCTGTTCCCTTAGTTTCTCCCAAATCGAAGACTGAGGGAAGGCGAGATCAAGAAGGGCAAGAAAAAGATCGAACAAGAGGAGATCGCGAGGGGTTCTTGGAGGACGAGATGGCGTTGAAATTTCTAAACAAGAAGGGATGGCACACCGGGAGCCTCCGAAACATCGAGAACGTGTGGAAGGCGGAGCAGAAGCATGAGGCCGAGCAGCGCAAGCTCGAGGAGCTCCGCAAGCAAATCCAGGACGAGCGCGAGAAGTCCGAGTTCCGCCTCCTCCAGGAACAGGCCGACCTCGTCCCTAAGCCCCGATCCCCAAGCTTCCTTCTTTAATTTCTTGATTTTAGGGTTAGGGTTCTGTTTGATTGTTTGAGGAAAAAAAATGTTTCGTTGATTGTTTCTTAGCGTCATGCTTTCCTGACGTTGTGCTATTGTCTGGGATTGATCTGATTAGGAGGCAAGAAAGGTTGGATTTTCTCTACGAGTCAGGATTGGCGGTGGGAAAGGGTAGCTCAGATGGGTTAAAGGCTCTTCAAGCACCACCAGCGGCGGCTTCCACTACCTCAACATCCGAGGGTAGTTCCTCCAAGGGACTATTCTTTTAGGATTATTATGTACTTTTATCATGATTTTTATTTTTTGTGAATCATCATGATTGAGTATAAAGATATGGCGTATTGCGTGATGACGATGTCGTTGTTAGGCATCAATTGAACGTCAAATTTTCTACATCTTGAATAGGGCTTCAGAATACAGTCATGGACTTGAATAATAACTTTATAAAAGGTTGCATCAAAGAAATATCACAATCCCGAATAAGATATTTAAGCATATGGAGACTTAACAATACTTTTTCCAAATGTGGAGAGTAGAGGCAACAATAAATTTAATCAAAGTATCTTTAATTGCCCAGTTAGACAGTTCCTAGCAAGAAAGTCCTGAAGCACAGGATGTTCCGGAGGCTCCCGGTGTGCCATCCCTTCTTGTTCAGAAATTTCAACGCCATCTCATCCTCCAAGAACCCCTCGCGATCTCCTCTTTTTCGATCTTTTTCTTGCCCTTCTTGATCTCTCCTTCCCTCTTGTCTTCGATTTTGATCTTTCTTCCCTAATTGAGCGATTTTGATCAGATGATGGAAAACAACGAAAACCCTAGCTCAAGTTGTCATCAAATCAAAGGCCAACGCACTTCACAGAAACAATACAAAAAAATTCAAGCGCGATAAAGGTATCAGAAAACTTGCTAGGGTTTAGAAGAAGGAAACTTACCTCAACGGGCAAGGAAGACCAGATGCGGATACCGTCGTGCCGAGGGTTCCGTCGTGCCGAGGATTGCGTGATGCCGAGGCTTCCAGAGACACAGAGTTTTGACTCGATCAGCACGATCTTTTATATCATAGGAATTGAGCCGTGAGGTCGGCGTCTGATGGTTGGAGTACTGATATGAGCGGATTGTGCACGGATTCGTCAGGCCACACAATTAATCGAGCCGTGCTTGGGTTTGAGCTCAGTGATTGTGAACTGAATGTGAATTTGTGAAAACGTTCGGGTTCGATGAGGCTCCTCGGCTTGGTTCAACCGAATCGATTACTTGGTTGATTCGGATGAGCCTATGGGATGCATAAATATGACGAATCATTGAAGAGCATTGCAGCTCCAATAAGATAAACAAAACTGGACATATAATTCAATATCACGATTAACAAAAAAAAAAAAAAAAAAATAATAATAATAATAATAATAATTAGTAATAAATATTGATTGATTCGAATGAACCTAAAAGATTTGCACGGATTCACATCTACATTTCAGAATGTAGTTTTGATCATTGCTGGGTTCTTTTGGATACTATCTAGCTTTTCTAGTAAAAGTATGTTTGTGCGCACGACTGCTTTCTTAGATGACGCTTTTCTAGTAAAAGTATGTTAAATAG